CCACGTCTACTTGCAGTTGGTTTGTTGTTGTTTTTTCTGACAATTTAATATTCATTAAGCCAATTTACAAACTTCTTTTCAAAATTTTAACAGTATAGTTTGCAGATTTCCAATTTTTTTTATACAAGTAAACAAATAGTTGAACAACATGTCTAAAATCAACGTCTTTAAATTCAGCAGATTTTGGCTGAATAAATTTCAATATCTTAGTAATATTTTGTTTTGAAATACTAAGATTGTTTTTTTGGAGAAAATTATGAATGTCTAAGTTTAATAAAACCATATCTAAATAATTCTTATAACAAATATTTTGTATTTAAAAGTTTAATGTTGTAATATATATGCCGCGTGGACTGCACATTCTTGTTAGTAATTTAGTTACTACAAATGTTAGTAATTAAAATTAAGAGTAATTAAATTACTTTTAGTGTTAGAATTTAAATTACTGACAACTACCGAAAATATGTTATTTATATGCTATGCAAAGTAAGGTAGCCTTAGCAACCAAAAAAAACTAAACTCATAAGAATTATGAATCTCATTTTAACACATACTCCCATTATTGTGTACTTAGCGCAGATAAAATACTGTTAAAACAACGTTAATGTAAAAATGAGCTGTTACTATGCAAAATTCAGTACCATAGCAACCAAGTTATCACATATAAAATTTGAACGGGGATTTAAGAGGACGAGCAATCAATTAAAACTTGATTGAAGCATCATATAGCTTGAATATATATAAGACAGCACATGGCAAATTATGGTAATTATTAGTTATAGTGCGGCAAAAAATAAATTTCTTAAAAACTTTTTTTTTACTCTATGATTTTCAATGTATAACAGAGATAACATGCTATGACATTTATTTCACACATTGGTTTTTCTTATCTCAAGAATAACATGTAATAATTAATTATTTCAAAAACGTAGATCTAATTGAAATATAACACAGCGTTAATGTCACCGTAAATTACTTATTTAAAATTTTTTTTATCTATTTTTAATTTTAATATTCAAATGTTTAGAGTCCTGGTAACTAAGGGATTTAATATAAATAAATTATCTATAAATTTCACCCAATATATGTAGATACTAAAATGAAATAAGTTTTCAAGATTAGACAACAAAATTTTTTCCCATTTTGTCCACCTACTGGCCCACTGTGCATAGCTACATGGTTGATGATTGAAATTTGGAACACTTATCAATGAATGTCTATTCTATCAGATTCCACGTCATCCTGGTGATTTTTTTACTATAACTCATTTTTTAATGCATTTATACATTTAAATTTATCTCTTTTAAATGTAAAATATAATTTTATTGATGGATGACGTAAGTTATTGAAATTTTGACCTTTTATGCAGATGCAAATATAAAAGTTATTTTATGTACGTATGTTAGCGAATATTTTTTTAAACTTGGCATGTTTAGCAACTTTTTCTAGTTTTTCGCCTAAATTTTTGTTTAGGTTATTAAAGCAATGACGTAAAACATTAAACTTTAAAACATTTTCTCTAATATTTTTTTGCGATTTTGTCTTATGACTTAATTATCTCTGTTTCAATTAACATTATTTAAAGTTTGAGTAATATTTTTTTTGTTTTTATAATAGTCTAATAATGTTTATAACTTGTTAATAAATATTAGAAATATATATTTTCAATTTTTTTGTTGATAAAAAGTAACAACAAATTACTAAATTTCAGCCAATATCATCATTTGTCGCGTTTTTTCTAAACTAAAAGAAGTTTTTTAACTGTTATATTAAATGTCATATGATAAAACATTTTATTGCTGTTTTTACTCCTTTTACAAAACAAAATTATCTTTAATATTTTAAAAGTTAAAGATATTTTGATAACTTTCAAAAAAAAAAAAAAACAAGAAGCCGTAAAGCTCACTCTGAAATAGCCGTTTTTAAATAACCTTTGTAACAACTTGAATATTTGAATGATCATTTAATTTATGACCAAAAAAATAAACAAGATATTTTTAATGTAGCAGCACTCCTTGAAGGTTCTACCTATTTTTCAGTCAATGTAGCAACACTCCTCGCATGTTCTACCTCTGTGCTAGTTTTTCGATACTATTCCTAAATCCAAATTTCGATATTATTTCGTACAAGCATTTTTGACATTATTCCTTTTAAATGAATTTTGATTTTTTTTCCTTCGAATTAATTCCTTTAATTTAGTTTTTTTTTGGAACTAATACCGATAATTAATTTTCGGTATTAATTGCGAAAAAACATTTCAATCAAAAGAATTTAAGCAGCCGTAGCGCAGTGGTAGCGCACTTGCCTCAGAAACGTAAGATCACTCAAACCCCACCTCTGGGCAAGTCTTACGACATCGGTTGGGAAGTAGGCGTGAACTTCCTATTAAATGCTTATCCGCGGTGCTCTGTGATAAGACCGTAAGGACTTCTTGGGGCACCTAAATCAACTTAAAAAAATAAAATAAAATAAAATTTCAATATTAATTCTGGTTTCCCAAAAAATCTATTCCATCAAATCCCATCATGCTTATTCAAAAAAAATTGCCCCAATTATTTTTTCAGCTTAGTTTGACTACCTGCAATTTTTCACTATAAAATAGGAGATTATATTTTAGATTTTCCTTTTTTTTTATGTATTTTCAATAGTTTTATAAAAAAATATGTTGAAAATTACATAACATAAGGACTAACGAAAAAGATTTATATATGTTGCTTAAACTTTAAACAATTTTAAAACCTGATACGTAGTGCATATTAAATTTTAATAAGGATAAAGCCTTCATGAAGGCTTTGCCCTTATTAAATGTGGCTTACTATAGTTACGTAAGTTAGATATGTTGTATGTGTAACTTATGAATAGCTAAGACAAATTTTGTATCAGTTTTAAAATTAGATTTTTTACTGAAAACCATTAAAAATAAATGAAAAATATAGATGTAAAGTGAACAAAAACTAAACTAGGTCTAATATGAAACAGCTGATCAACCTAGAAAAAAAAAATCAAAATATATAAAACATCGAAGTACTTGCAAATTTAAGATAACCAAAGTTATTGTAAAAATAAATTAAAGGTGCGAGTAAATGTTGCGTTAATTATTATTTAATATTATGATACTTGATATATTTAGGCAAACTTAATTAGCGCAAATAAATCATCATTATTTCGTTAAAAAATTCAGCGCAAGAGATTTCTCAAGCTTTCATTTCACCTTTTTAATATGAAATTGGTGCCGGACACCCGGACTCGGACCCGGACCCGGTTTTTTATTCTGGGTACCCGGAATCGGGGACTCGGCATAAACTGGTTCCTGCACATCTCTATTCAATCAATCAATCAATCTCACAAAAATAGATACTGTTTACAATATAGTATAAATATTACAACTATATTATTGTGAAGGGACAGTGCGAATAGTACACGACTAATTCAAAGCAGAGACCTTATAAAACAAAAAAAAAAACAAAAAAAACGAAAGAACCTTGTAAATATTAAATAAAAAAAATTAAAAAAATAAAAAAAAAAAATAAAAAAAATAAAAAAATAAAAAATAATAATAACAATAACAATAATAATAATAATAGCAATAATAACAATATACCTATATTTCTCTCTCTCTCTCTCTCTCTCTCTCTCTCTATATATATATATATATATATATATATATATATATATATATATATATATATATATATATATATATATATATATATATATATATATATATATATATATATATATATATATATATATATATATATATATATATATATATATATATATATATATATATATATATATATATAAAATAATAATAATAGCAATAATAATAATAGCAATAATAGCAATAATAATAATAATAATAATAATAATAATACAGCAGACACAATAAGCAAGGAACAAAAATTAAAGTTATTTATATATAATAAAAGTACTAAAACTAATAAAAACAAGTACGTAATAATACTGACAATAGATAATAATAAAAATAATAGTAACTGATTAAAATAATTAAATGATATTCAAAATGTTTAAAAGCCTAAGGACATCTTTTTTAATGTTATAACCACTTAGGAGTGGTCCAAAAATTACGCCACGCAATTTTTGACCGTTTTAACTCATGACCCTCTCTTTACAACCTTGTAACTCAGTAGCATCAAGTTTCATATGAGCCGTCATAAAAACAGTCCCCCTCCCTCCCCCTCAGCGTGACGTATATTAATAACCCTTAGTTCAAAACATTGGGTGTGCACGTGCATTAGCAACAGCTAAAAGATATGTAAACAAATTTTATAAACATATAAAACATATGTATAAAACATGTTAAGAAACAAATTTCACTAATGATCCAGTATCAAGAAAGGATATTTTTCAAGTGGTATCCACTATCCAGAATAAATGACAAATTAAAAATAAAAAATGGCCATTCTTAATGTTAATGTCTATAAGTGTTAAAGTGTAACTTAAACACTTGTTATTACTGAATAATTTTTTTTATTATTATTAAAACGTTTTAACAATTATTAAAAATAAGTGTTAGCAGATTCTATTTATAAATCTATCATTTTTACTATTTTACTATTTTAAAAAGCTATCAAATAGCTTATAAAGTCTGCAGTTTGGATTCCAAAAGAAATATTCTACTAACCAAAGCTTGGTTAGTAGAATATTTATATCAGTTATAGCTGAGTGCTTGGTCCAATCAGTTATAGCTGAGTGCTTGGTCCAAGCACTCAGCTATAACTGAAACCATAAGCGAGACTTTAAACCAAAAACAGTTTGTTGGTGGATTGTTTGTTGATTTGCAAAAAGTATTTGATACTGTCAACATGAAATTCTACTATCAAAACTATATCATTATGGTGTAAGGAATTGTTTTAAATTGGTTTAAGTCATATCTAATCCATCGTACTCAAAGTGTTATTAATGTTTTGTATTATTGTATTTAATATTGTTATTACTATTTTTTTTATTGTTATCTTTATCATTATTTTTATATTACTAATGTTATTTTTAACACTTTATAGTTAGTATTTAGACCATAATTCATCTAATTGGATAAAGGATAGTAAAATCCCTTTTTAAGTAAAGTTATGTGTAAATTTATTGCTTATTTTTTATATGTAAATAGTCTTTAAGATTTTTGTAATGTGTTACGATGTCTTTATTTAAATGTATCTTAAAAGTTTAAATCATAACTATTTTATTATTCACAAAAAAAAATATTTGTTCATTTTGATTTTGTATTAGTAGAATGATGGCAGCTAAACAATCGCCATATTTCACAAGCTTAAATAAAAACTCTTTAATGAAATATCAAAAGCGGTTACAACGCCCTAAAATAAAAATAGAATACGATAAAAATTTACCTCTTCAACAAGAAAACTTATCAGTGAAACAAGATTCTTCATCTTTAAAAAAAGAAAACCCTCCTGAGAAACAAAGTTTATGCATAAAACAAAAAAAATTATCTGTAAAAAAAACAAGTACAGATTTTAAACATACAAAGAATAAAAAAACTGATGATGGGGCTTCATTTTGTCCAACAAACTGGGAAGTGATGTTAAATAATATAAAAGAAATGCGCAAAAGCAGAAATGCAATAGTTGATTCTTATGGATGTGAGAGGACTGCTGATGAAAGAGAATCTCCTGAAGTAATATAATTGTACAAAAAGAAAGGTTCTATTTTCTTATTTATTGAAAGTATTATTTTTATGAATAGCTTTTTTCTTTTTTTTTGAACAGGTTAAACGTTATCAAACCTTAATATCATTAATGCTTTCTTCACAAACAAAAGATGGTGTTACATTTGCTGCAATGGATAGGTTGAAAAAACATGGTTTAACTATCCCATCTATTTTTGAAACATCAGAGTCTGTTATTGAAGAACTTATTTATCCTGTTGGGTTTTGGAAGGTATTAAGGTTATTTACATTATTTGATTTGGGCATATCTGTAATGTTTTTTTTTTCCTTTAAAATATACAAATTATATTTTATCATCTCATGAATAGATGTGCATAAAATAATAATTATGTTTAGATTTTAAATTTTTTTAAAGAAAAAGTTTTAGTTTATGAACTCAAATAAATTTTTATTATATCAAAGCCAGATAGTAGTGTGCTCAAAAATGATTTTTTTTTTTTGCAACAACAGAGTTGATGTATGTTCTACAAGTTTTTAAGACTTTTTTCTTAGTGTTTTATATCAAATCAAATAATTTTTAAAGATTAGTCAAGTTTAGCTATAAAACTTAGGTTTATACCCAGTTGCGTAGGCATAAGTTTTTGATGCTTTAGACATGACACTTTTAAGCATTATGGAAACTCTAAACTCAATTATATTCATGCTATTTCATGCAACTTGTAAATGCTGTCATCAAAATCCCTGGCAAAATATTGATTGTATACTACTTTATCTTGAGTCTACTGAAAAAAATATTGATTGTTTTCTATTACTTTATCTTAAGTCTACTGAAAAAAATTCATGCATTTTCTTTGTAATATTTGATCAAAGTACTCAAAAATAACATCTTTTCAGAATTTAAAAAAATTTAAGTTTTGTAACTAAGGAAATGAAATGTTTTTTAAAACAATTTTTTAATTAAAACACCAATATAGTGTTGTTTAGCTAGTTTGGGACATATTTAGTCATGAGCATACTAAGAGACAAGGTTGGCGCAATTTCTTTCCTAACCTTAAAAAACAATGAATTTAAAAAATTATTTAAATAAAATTATAACAGCATTATTTTAAACGTTTATTTTTCAATTTATTTTCTGTAACCAACTGCTTTTTTTTATTTAATAATATCTTATATTATAATATCTACTTTATTATTTATTGACTTATTGTATAAATTAACTTATTGTATTTAATCTAATAGAAGTAAAATGATAATTCATGCTTTGTGCCAGTAACTGTTCTACCATCTAAATGTTTTTTTTGCTAAATGTGCTTGAGTTTAGTCAATTTCTTTCTTTAAATATAGCTTAAAACAAATGCCAGTTATTTTGGCTTTACAAAAAGAGTACATTGTTTAATACTTGCTTTAGACTTTCATGACAAATTACTCTTTTAACATTTACTATGGCTGGTAGCAAAAAATACCCATTCATTCATTCTGATGAATTTAAATGTCTCTACAGTGATGACAAGGGTTAATGAATTTTTCAAAGTTTTCAAGTTTTTTTCTGTGTTGCACAACCACAGTTATCAGAAAAATACTTCACACATTATGCATAAAGTTATAACATCTAAAGCTTAGGTAGATTTTCTTTGATATGTTTAGTTACATCTTCTTGACATCTTATAAACAAACTCTGTTGATGATCAACATCTTCTGAAACATAACAAGAAGTTTTTTGTTTGAAAAATGTTTTCTCTTGAAGATGTATTACAATTGTGAAAAGTAAACATTGACTTTTTTCAGTGATAACTGAAACTTCATTCTGGACAACAAATTTATAATTTTCAGGAAAATTTTCTAAAATAAAGCAATTTGATTTAGTTTAGATTTTCCTTAGATTTTTTCAAGTATCTACTTTGCATTTTTGCTATAAATGATTGTGTGGTAAGGTTGTAAATACATCTTTTTTAAAACCAATAATAATAAGAACATGTTTAATAATATGATCTGTTCTGATTGTTTATTGCCAATTTTTCTTAGTTATAAGCTTTTTCTTGGTTGGAATTCTAGTATTTTTTGTGAAAATTGATAAGCATATTGTATTTTGACAACTATATATAGTTAATAAACATCAGAACCAAATAAAACTAAAGTGATCTGAAGAATCCAAAACCGATTAAAACTAAAGTGATCTTAAGGCTCTAAAATGGTGTTTTTTAGATTTACTATTAGGGGTAGTAAAAAGGTTTTAAAATTTATATATAAAATTGAAAAGTTTATTTAAATATTAAAAAAACCTGAAGCAAAAAAAATAATAACAGCTAAAACTCTTGTTTAAACATAATACACTGATAAAATCATGCTAATTTCAAATAAAGGAATAGAAATAATTTGTAAATTGCCTTAAATACACTGAGCTTACATCGGTGCAACATACACTAAACATTTTCAAAAGCGCAAACAATTAAACTTATAAAATCTTTGTAACTTTATTTCAACTAATTGCATTAGTTAGAAATTTCGGTGATGTATGCATGCACATGTATACACATACATTATGAGTACCTAATGCATTAGTTGTATTGCTCAAATTGAATTTTATAGTACAAGACATTGACAAACTGACCTTGACAGTGGGATAGTTGTTTTTAAATGCTACATGTAATTCATTCATTGATCATTCTTGAAAACTCATCATTTTAAAATAAGTTGAATATTAACTTGGCTGTTTCTTGTGCTTCCAATACCAGTAGTAACCGTACCGGAATACCGGTATTACCGGACATTTTTAAGTACATTTAAGTAGTATTTTCCAGTTGTGATAAAACAATGCTTCCGGTAGGAAAAAGATAGCTAGATGACAAAAGACGTCTTTAAAATGTATAAAAAAGTAGTCTTTGTATTTTTTACGTCTTAAACGTATCTTTTACCCATAGGTAGCGACTAGCTAGCTATTCACTGGCTAGTTGCTAGCTCATTTACCACCTGGCTTGTTTATCTTGTAATGAGAGTACAAAATCATCCTCGCTAAAGAGTTTGGGATCGAGAAAATAAAAAGTTGCTTAATTTAAAAGTAAAGAAAATAATAAATTGTTTAATTTAAAAGTAAAATTTGTTTAATTTAAAAGTAAAATTTTGTCTTCCTTCTATTATAATAGAAGGAAGACAAAATTTTACTTTTAAATTAAACAAGTTTTATTTTTAATTAAATATTTTTAGCAATAATATTTTTATTTCAAAACAACTTATTATTTTCTCGATCCCAAACTCTTTTGCGAGGATGATTTTTAACTTTTTTTGAGAAAATGAGTGGGACATGACCCTAATGTCCCGGGCCACGTGCAGGTAAACAATTTTAACTTGTGTTCATTAGGACTACACAAATGCTGAAAGTTTCAGAGTTCCAGTTTGCCTGGAAGGTAATGAAAAATCTATCACAAGATTCCACTTCAAAAAGTAGGGTACTTCCCCTAATTTTTCATTACCTTCAAATCAATTTTTCACTTCTTTCCAGACTAGCTGGAGCTCTGACAATTTTGGCATTTCTTTAGTGCCAATGAATTTGCATAATAAAATTATTTTCAGAGCCCTAAGACATTTAAACATGAAAACAATCTAGAAGGTAGTGGAAAATCGATAGCAATTTTCTGCTACAAAGAAGTGGGGACTGTGCCCTGCTATCCATATATGGAAATCCATATACTTGCAGATCAAAATCTTTATATTTTTTGAAAGACCAATAAATTTAGAATATGTGATTTTGTTTTTGATATCATCAAGGCCACATGTTTTTCTTGACCATTAAAAACAGGTATATAAAAGGTTGCCCAAGTTTATTTAAATTGATAATTACAGGTACTTAATAATAATTTTTTACACTTCTGATCATGACATTGGATTCGTCACCCTCAAAAATAGCCAGTTACATTTTTAAAGTCAAAAAGTCTATATTTTAGGACCTTCTTGGAGCCAGAGGCTAAAATTTTCAAAGAATTTTTATTTTACTAAGTATTCTCAACTGTATAAAAATCAGCAAAATCTAAGATGTACAGTGACATGACCTGGGTCATTTTACATGGAATTACCCCAAAGCTAATTTTTAAATTTCCGGATAAATGTTTTTATCATTATTTTTATTTCATCATCATCATTTATCTCATTTTTATTTTTTTAAATTTTGACATATGACAATAAGTATTTATTATCCCGTATTTTTATTATCTGGATTAACAAAAAATATTTAAAACATAATAGTTGTGAAAGTCTCATGAAAGCTATTTTTGTTGCAGTAAGTTTTTTGTTTTTTCTGTAGAAATTGTGGTGCATTAACTCAAATTTTGCAGAAATTGTCTGGTAAATTTGAGTTAATTCGCCCCTTGGGTATCAAACCTAATTTTTTCTCACTTTTGATTCCCATTCCTTCTGCAAACTAAAATCTTTATCAATTTCTACTTCTTTTTTGTAGCATTTACTGCAGAATTTTTAACCCAATGTTAAGTATAAATTTTTTTTTAAATATTGTTTTTTTTATTCTAATTCACTTTCAACAAGGCTGCAAGCAACCACTATTAAGTTTTTTTTTTTATTAGTTAGTTCATTAGGAGTTCATTTTTATTATTTATTTCAGAATTATTTATTTTTAAGCCTAACAATTTACATTATTGGAATGCACACTATGATATTTTGAAAATTTGAGCTTAAATTTACCTTTAAAAATCATGCATACATATGTAAAAGTTTTATTTAGTTTTTTCATTTGCTAGTAATATTATAAACAAATATTTTGAATATGTTGAAATGTGAAGTTGGAAAAACTTATATTCATTGTCACAAAACTGGATTTTCTAGAAAACAAGGTTTTATTCAACTCAAAGATCTTTCTTTTGAACAGCAAAAAGAAATAATCTGTTAAGCAAACTTAAAAGAAATCTTTTGTTAATTTAGAAATATATACTATTATTATGAGCAATTATATGGAAAAATTAGAAAAATTAAAAATTACAAAGCGTTGTAACCATTATAAAACAATTTTTTAAAAATTAATAAAAAAATTTGCCACACACAAGGAAAGTAAAAAAATGCTATAATGGATAATCTTACATTTATTATAGTTACAGTAGAACTAATATGTTAATGAAAAGAATAATATTTTATCAACAATAGTGATTAAATTTTCAGTTTATTTAAAAACTTATTTAGGTAATGTCAATAGCAAATTAATCTACATTCAGCAAACATTTTACTAGAAAATGTTACATTTCATCTCTAATTCATGGGATTGATCTTATTACCTTTCCCAAGGATAAGGCTGAACTATCTGCAAAGAATCTTATGGTCTTACTCTTTCTGCGATTCCAGTTAAACATGGTCTTCTCCATAGGCTTGCTTCATATTGTGTAAAAATTCTGGGAAAATTTTTGAGATATCAAATCATTTTTTCTAAGCGGTTTATTAAAGTCATCCTTGAAGGCCAACACTCTTCTTCATTTTTAGTAACTTCTGGAGCACCACTAGATTCTATTCATGTTCCTGTCTTATTTCTTATTTACATTATTGATTTTCCTGACAACCTTACATATAAAGTGACTCTATTTGCTGATAACTCAACTTTATACTCTTGTCTTGAACATTAGTCTTCTCTTTTCAATTGCTTAGAAAAGGCAGCCCATCTCGAAACTGAGCTCACTTCTGTAATAGATTGGGGTCTGCAGTGGCTTTATCTGCTATTCTTGAGCCTCTCTCCCATTATTTTAATGTTGCAACTTTTTTTTTCTTCTGTCAACTGCTTCCTTGCTCATTAACTCTTGCTTATTAGTTTTTTTAAAATTTTCTTGCTTATTCCCTTCTCTCATTCATAATCCCTTCTTTCATTAACTCTTGCTCATTAATTTTTTAATCTTTTAAAAATCTGAAATAAATATCAAAAATGAATTCAAATACAGCAAAACAATTTACTAAATTTAAATACAAACAAAACAGTTTGATAACTCAAAATCTTTTTTTTTTCATTATGTTTCTAAATTTTATTTTAGAAATAATTTGTCACTATTAACTCATTTTTATGAATTAAATAAAATTTAGGAAGTAAGGGGGATGATGTCCCATCCTCTTGCCTACTTTGCATGCCATGTCCATAACTATTTATTAAATAAATATAAACTAACTGATAAAAATGAAAATTCTCACCAACCTGCTTATTAAAACCCCTTTGTTTATTAGATCTGGAAAAATATTCCCACCAACCCATTTATATTAACCCCACTTTGTATTAAGCACCTGAGCGCAATGGGAATAAATTAACACTTCAAGTATTTATTAACTTTTGTTTCTTTATCCCCCCATTTCTATTAGTTTTGTTTCAAATTGATGTACAATTAGGGTTGTTAGTTGTCCGGCTTTTACGGAGGAGAATATAGCGCCAAATCTATAAAAATAATTTTTTTTACTGTGTTCTCCTTCGTAAAAGTCGAATGTCTGGCAACCCTATGTACAGTTGATTTAATTTACAAATATTTACAATCAACATTTTTTGCCAGGGATTTTGGGCAACAGCCTCCATTTTAGCTCTAAAATTCAATAACTTACAAGTCAATAATTTTAAATAAAATTGGATATATGAGGCATTTCTTGAAATAACAAGTCTTTATAATAGTATTTTTGAATTCCTTAAAGGGGTCCCAAACCTCCGAGATATATTGTGTTCATATTAAAGAAAATGATAAAAAAAAAATGCATACCATGAAAAACTTTTTTACTTTAGTCGAAGCTCGCCTTCTCCGTTTTGTTGTACTTCAAAAAGTCAGCATATTATATGCCGCAACCTACAAACTTGATGATTTATTTTAAAAATTTAGCCCAAACATTTTTTTTATAATTCTCTTTAATATGAACACAATATGTCTCGGAGGTTTGGGATTTTCTTTAAGCAAAAATCTATTTGGGTTTCAAATTTTAAGAAAACCCTTCAAACTATTATCAAGATATATGTTAAAGTTGCTTTGTTGTTTCTTAATATATCCATGAAAATGCTGAATCAGCATTATTTCAACTGATGATATCTCAACAATCCATAGTTTTAGTTTAAGTTTTTGTAATATTTATTTACTTATGGACTGCAAATAATGTAAAAAAATACAGTTATAAGATGTCAGAGTGACATAATCTAGATGATTTTATATGGAATGACCCTAATATCTTATTTGTAGTAAGATATTATCCTAATGAGATTTCTAGTGAATGTATGTATAGATGTATGTATGTATGTATGTATGTATGTATGTATGTATGTATGTATGTATGTATGTATGTATGTATGTATGTATGTATGTATGTATGTATGTATGTATGTATGTATGTGTATGTATGTATGTATGTATGTATGTATGTATGTATGTATGTATGTATGCAGGTACGTATGTATATATGTATGTATGTATTTATTTATTTTTTTTTCATCCTGACTTCCAACAAGCCTGCAACCACTATTACAGTTGGAAGTTACTGGAAGAGAAAAGATGAAGTGTATAGAGCAAGATAACAATTGACAAACAACCTAAAAGATTGTAAACTATATGAATCAGGAAAACAAGATAAAGGAAGCAATTTCCAAAGGACTGATGTTTGATGAAAAAAACTAGACAAATAAAAATTTTTGTAGCACTTAGGAACAGTCACAGTAAAAGGATAGACTTAATTGAATGATGAGTAACACAAAAATGAATTTTAGTAAATACAGTTCAGCTTTGTCCAGTGGCGGATTAAGACTTCTTGGGGCCCGGGGCTATTTTGTTTTGGAGGCCTTTTTATGGGCTTCATTAATATTGCGATACCAAAAAAAAAAAAAAGATCCTTTAAAATATTTGGGGGCCCCTAAATTTGCAGGGCCTGGGGCTATAGCCCCCCCCCTCCTTGATCCGGCGTAGGCTTTGTCTTTAGTTGAGATGGCAAAATCTCTACCATACAAGAGAGGAGGAATAACAGATTTGTCCTTGTTATAGATACTGTTAAAGGTTTTCCAGAAGTCACAAGAACCTAATTTTTAAGATGAAATAAGAGATTTGTGACCTGAAAATAGGGGCCTTAGGCGCTAGACAAAATCTTTTTACAATGGTTTCTAGCACTAGTAAACAGACGTCTGTTTTCTGGAGAATTGCTCTGCTGATAGATATGAAAGTAATAGTTATGATTGGAAATATCATCAGCACAATTAGAGGCAAACCACGGAGAAGACTTGAAATTATTGACAGGAAATAAAGGGTTCCATGCCAGTCTGAATCCAAGAGGTTATTTAAGAAGCACATTTATCAGCAGGAAGACAAAAGATTTCTACCAAAGGCCATCACAACGAAAATTACGGAAAAAGTCCCAGCCAGCTTAAAGGTAGTTGTAAAATGTACAATGATAGGGGGATCCTGATGATGAAGAAGAATAAAATAATAGTTTTAGAGAGATTAAACTGTAATCAGAAGCACCTAAAAGTGAATGTGGAGCACTGATTAGGATCAGAAACAAGACTTAAGTTAAGTAGAGAAGGTAAATGATTCGGATTGTCTGGAAAGCCAGTTGGAAAGTTGTCTATTTGTGTTAGAGATTGAAATAGGCAAAAAATGTGGTCCTTAATGTCTTCAGAGTCACTGACACTAGAGCCAAGCCATTCAGTGTGATGAGCATTATAGTCACCAACAACAACGATATTGGTTAAACTTATCATATAACAAATTATGAATAACTGTAATTGTAGATAAAGAAGAGCTCATAAAAAGTTCTAGTCTGGTCTATGTTAAGTTAATTTTTATTATCATATAACTCCATAATTGCAAATGAAAAAGTTAAAATGTTTGATAAATTTAACACAATAGTTACATAATAATATAATTTCTTCTAATATAATTAATAACAAATTATGTTATTTTCTACCAAGTAGTTTATAGTTTGCTTGATAGCAGTTTTCATTTTTTTTTTAATTATTACCGTATGCAGGTGGTAAACATAAACTTCGAGGAGATATAAATATTCTTTTGTAGAGAAGAGTGCAGTCTTGAGATGAAGAAGAGCGATTAGAACAAAGAGGAAGGTAATAGAGTGAAGTGGTGCTAAATAATAGCACATAAAATAATAGTCTGTAGATTCAAATCTACTTTCCTGACAAAATAGCGAATTCTTATGAATGTAGATGATCAGGCTAAGCGTGTGGCTATTGGAGTCTCTACGAATCAAAGGAAGATAACCATCAACACTAAGATCTTAAGGCGAGGCAGCTGAACTCAAATTAGTCTCACAAATAGCAATTAGGTTTGGTGAACTTTGCAAGAGATAAGACTTAACAGAAAAAAAGTTATTTCGAAGAATATGAATATTTGTGAATGATAGATTTAGAAAACTTGGTGATGACTATGGTTTTTTTTCGTTTTATTGTTTTTGGTATTTAAGTTATTTTTAAATTTGTTAAAGAACTTGACTCAAAGCACAGATAGTACTCAGTAAATTATTCAATAGTCCAAGCAATTGCCTCTTTTCTAATAATAAACTCTAAGCCGTAACCAAATGTGTCCTCCATAATGCACACCAAAAGTACGAAAAAGAACACCATCCATGCGCAACATGGCACTGTTAGTACTATTTCAGTTGTTGATGGAATTAGCCTCAGAACCTTAAAACTGAGTTTTAGAGCTGTACCTTCATTAGGAGATAATAAAATAATTTTTAAACTATATTTTATTTTTATTAAGATTTTTTTTTTATTGTCTAAATTTTTTTCTATATTTACTTAATTACTATAGTTTTTATGTTTTATTTTGAATTGTTTTATGATTTTTTTTTGTATTAACTTTATTTTTATGAAGTTCAACGTATTTGTATTATAATAAATTTATTCCAATATGTTTTTAAATAATGAAAAGTTATTTTTAGAAAAAAGCTGCTTTTATTAAAAATGCTACTGCTATTTGCCACGATAAATTTAATAATGATATTCCAAATTCGTTACAAGGTTTACTTTCTTTACCTGGAGTAGGACCAAAAATGGCGCATATATGTATGAATGCTGCTTGGGGAGTTGTGACAGGCATAGGTGTTGATACTCATGTTCATAGAATTGCTAATCGATTGAAATGGGTTAATACAAAGAAGCCAGAAGAAACTAGAAATTGTTTAGAAGCATTGCTACCAAGGTTATTACCCTAAAATTTACACTAACCATGCATTTTAATGTTCTTTTTTTCTTAATTATGTAAACTGGTGTTTTCTTTAATTGTGGAAATTCAATAGCCAAAGGGTAATTCTACAGTTTCTTCACTTTTTGAACCTTTATTTTTTCTTAAACTTCTATGAAATTTAACAAAGAAAGGTTCATTTGCTAAATTTTGACGGGAATGTTGAACAATTTAAGAATATGCAATTTTAATATTGAGCCGGTTTCCAAAAATTTCCGGTTTTTACATATTTTTTTCAAACTTTTTGCCTAATAAAATGAGAAACGCCATAATAAATAACAAAATAAACAAATAAATAGCGAAAATAAAAAAATAAACATTAGAATGTTTTTTTAAATGTAAAATTCAAAAAATTTGCTTTTTTGATGCTGAAATATGAAGCAAACATGCTAAAACATGCTGAAAATAACTAGTTTATTTAAATAAATATCGGGGTCAAATATTTTGAGTTTTTTTTAAAAAGTTTCTTTTTTGTTTTGAACATTTTCTGTTACTTATAGCTTAAGTTGTCTAAAACACATCCTGTTTTGTCTTTGTAAAACTGTTTCATATAAAAACTAACGAAATGATATGTATTTGTTTTTTAATTTTTGTCAGTTAGGGGTCATCCATAAATAACGTCAGTTTAACTAATGGCAAGAAGTAGGAAAATATTGGCTCTCGTGCGCAGAGACTTTAAAAGTAATATAGCCCCTTATATTAAATGAAAATCTCCGCGGAAGGGAGCCAATAAACTTTTACTTCTAGTTAGTAATTTAGTTCTGAATGACATCCTTTATGGACAACCCCTTATGTAGTTTATAAAAAGTTCATTGGAATAAAATTAACATCATCTACCAGAACAAAACAAAAATCTGCTAAAATTGAATCTTAAAAGGTAAAAATTATTTCTACCATACAAATTAGGCGTGAAGAAAGAATCGTTATTCTTATATATTTAAAGAAATTTTAGCTTCTTATTGTTCAAATTAAGTTGTTTATTTAGATGTGTTTTATTGGGTTAATGACATCAGAGTGAAACGTTATAAAAATAATGAAGAAAAAAAATGATCTTTACGTTGTAACTCGAATTAACAAACTTAACAATATTATGTGTCATTTCTAAAAGTTTTTTTTTATTTGAAAATGATTCTATATGGCAGATAATTTGTTGTGATCATTGCACGCACAAAAATCACTCGTAAGTAGTTTGAATAATTTATTATATATATAAAAATAAACTTTAATACTCATGTTGTTATTTTTCATTTCTTTAAGAAAAACGTTTTTTAAAAATGTTTTAAAACCGAGTCATTTTGAGAAACCAGTCCAATATTAAAATTGCAATATCTTGTGAAGCCCTCATTTTTGGCTAAAAATTTGCGTACGACATTTTTTCATAAATAAAAATTAAGCGTCAAAATATGAAATGATTCAATAGGGAATTACCTAAATGGAAATAAACCCTCTGTTATTAAAATACTATTAGTTAATTTTTACATTTAATTTAGATGTGAGTGGGATGATATTAATATTTTACTAGTTGGATTTGGTCAACAAACTTGTCTACCAGTTAATCCGAAATGTATCTCGTGTTTAAATTATGATATATGTCCGTCATCTACTAAAAATATTCATTAAAAATACTGATAATAAAGTATACTTAGTGAACAAAGTATACTTAGCATTAATCACTTTTCTAAAATATGAAGATTTAAATATAAAAGAATTTTAAATAACATCTTGATCAATCCATGTAATCATTTATTAGTACGCACAAAAATTGGAGTTTTGACCCCTACTCACCGGATGATTCATAACGTACTTTTAAGCTTTCCACTTTGAAAATAAACGTACAAACGCTTTTTATCTACTCCTATAATATCAAACTCAATGAAAAATCTTTCAATTCAAGTTCATTCTACCAAATCAAAAAAATTCTCAAGTCAAGTTCAACAAAATCCAAGTTAGACTAAATCAAGAAAATTCACAAGTCAAGTTAAACAAAATCCAAGCTAGACTAAATCGAAAAAATTCTCAAGTCAAGTTCAACTAAATCCAAGCAAGACTAAATCGAAAAAATTCTCAAGTCAAATTCAACAAAGTTATTCTACTTGAAGAGCTTTACCATGATACTACTTGTTTTAAAGAATAACAGTTATCGAGTATTTTTACAAATAATAAAATATTTATACGGAATAACTATAAATAGATGCAGTTTCCTGGTGTCCAATAATACTAGAAGTGTTAATTTATTTCCGTTGCTCTCTTTTGTATTTTTACAATTAATGATAACACAGGTCAACAACAAAAAAATGTTTTCCTGGTGTCGAGCAAATAGTTTGTTTTTCGTATAGCATTTCTCGTTTTGATTTCAAATATGCCACTCATTTTTCGCTATCATGTCAAGTTATAAAGATATTTAGGTTCAAATCTTTAGTATTTGGGGTAAAATCCCTAATGTCAACAAAAAAATTATTCAAAAGTATGTCAACCTGGGTCTCAAAAGAAGCGTATTTTCAAAGAGATTTTAAAAATGATATTCGTTTGTAATAAAAATAAGTATTTTTTCTATTATTGCTGAGAAACATTTTTTTTACATAATTTTTGCGTCAATAAATTTTAAGGAATTTCTGTTTCTAAAATCGCTATGAAAATACGCTTCTTTTGAGACCCAGGTTGACATACTTTTTTAAAAATTTTTTGAATAATTTTTTTTTAACAATATAATAATAAACAATATGTGTGTTTCATAGGTATTGTGGTTTTTTCTTTTCTGACTAATTACCATTCTAATAGACCACATACTAAGGTCTACAAAGATATATTCAACTCATTAAAGCACATCATTACCCGCTTACACAGTTTAGGTGTAAGTTAGTCTCGAAAAGAATTAAAGTAAAAGTAAAAACCAGTCATGTTAGAAAGAAAGCATAGAGAAAAGCGGTCAGATCATTCATTGTAGTTTAAAAAGTGCAATATATTTATACTAATAGTCATGTTAGACAATAGTCATAAATCAAAGGTTTAATAGTTTGTTAATATTTAGAACAAAGGATCGTCCATAAAGTATGTACGCTTTTATTTTGACTCCTCCCCCTCCCTCGCATTTTGATATACGCTTTTTTGAGGACCCTCTGCCTCCCTAGTACCTATGCTTTTAACCTACCTACCCAAGATTTTGTGATTTTTTCTTAATTAAGTGTTTCTATACTTTTACAATTGACCCCATCTCATATACGCCATATGCAGACCCCCTCTCCCGCATTAAAGCGTACGTACTTTATAGATGATCCCTAACTTGCCATCTTACGTCGTTAATGCCAAAATCATCCAGAGAGCTTTAAAGTTAAAATTAACTCAATCAACTTCAAAAAAATATTGTTCCGGCTAACTAATTTTTGTTTTATAATTGTGGTATTATATATAATTTATATTTTTTTGTAATTTAATGTTAAATAATCGCTTATTTGCACTAATTAATCAAAAGTTATATGTTAAGGAAAATAAAACATTAAGATTGAGACAGAATTGCAAATAAATTAAAAAAAAAATAAAGTGTATAAACTTTCTCGACTGTAGTGTGAATAAAATGAAAAAAAATATTTTCTATATTGAGTAAATAAGACTTTGATTCCATAACACTGTTAGACTTATATCAAGAAGTTTGGTTGAAGTTAAAGCTAAAAGCAATTCTGTTAATAATATTTCGACACAATTCAAAGTACCACTTAACCATATAGTTACAGCATTTAAGGTAAATGTTTATTAAAAAATTTTTTTAAGATACCCGGTGCCGGGTACTGCAAAAAAATGGCTTATTCCGGCTACTCGGGAAAAGAGCTGAACTACCGGATCCCCGGGTCCGAACCCGGTACCCGGCACATCAATAGTTTTGAGCGTCTTTTGAACGTTATAGACGTCTTTTGAACGTTTAAAAGACGTCTTTTTAGGTGCTGTGCCCACTGGGTTATTTTCTACTATTTTGATATGATTACTCCAGTTGATCTGTTTATTATAAACTATCCTTAAAAATTTAATTTTTTAATTTCTTTTCAGTTAAAAATGTTAAAAGTTAAAATGCCGTAGGCAAATCTTTGCCTAAAATTGTTTGAAAAAAACTAACAAAAAATGTTGTTTTTTTAGATAAACTAAAAAAACCATGCTAAAATTCTATTTTTTAAAAGAGGCTGTGTATAATTAAGCTTTTATTTAAATATAAACAATTTATATTTTACTTGAGTAAATTATTTTCCTTAAGCAAAATTGCTTTTAGTGTTAAACATTTGCATTACTAACACTTTTTTAAGTTTGAATTGTTATCACTTTGTTAGTGATAACAATTTTAATTAATTGTTATTAATTTAAATATTTTTTGAATTAATTAATAATTTTTTTATTTATTTCGAATACAACAGTTTTAAACAGCCTTAGACATAGTAGTGACATATTAATAGTATTTGTATTCCCTTTATCAACATATATCCTCAATGAACGACACCTGTTGTTTTAAGAAGATGTACAACATGTTTGTCTAAAAAATCTGGCATGTCTTACTATTGTTCTCGGACTTTCACATTTACTAATTCTATTAACGTAGCTGACTTTTAATACCATTACCTAGTAATAATAACATTAGCTAGTCCTCAACTTCATTCCTTGTAATATCTCATTATCTCAACTTCTGTAATAATAACATAACCTAGTCTCTATAGATTGATCTCATTATCTTATCTCCATAGATAATCTCATTCCCTGTAGTAATAACATTAGCTAGTCTCCATAGGTTATGAATAGGAATCAATGTTTCTTATATATCCTCGCTCTATCCTATTTGTTTTAATTGGTTAATATGATTTCAACGCGATTGTTGTTTTTTTGTTTTTTTAAGAGCGTTCTGAATAGTATCAATATATCAGAGTTTTGTGATTCATAATGGTTTTTTTTCAATTACAAATTGAAATCGCTTGATATTCTTAACTATATTCACATTTGTTCACTTCTTCATATAACCTAGCATACTTACGTTGGGTCATCGTATGTAAATACATCGCGAACGTCGGCTGTTTTCTCTGACGCAAATACAACGTTGATCCAATCTTAGTTTTATCGTACTTTTGTTAATAAAAGCCTAAATAACGACATGGTTGAAAATAGTTATGAAAATTACGTAAAAAAAAATCGCAAAAATGGTTGTTTTTTCGATCTAATATATAGGGATCAACGTCGGTCCAATGTATATGAGTCAACGTTGACCAAATGTGTATAACCCCATATTGATCCAATGTATATGGATTAACGATGATCCAATGTTTATGACCCAAATAAACATAACAATATAAATAATGCTTCTTTAATTAAATGTAAATTAACAAATGTAAACATATAATATCAGCCATGTTATTTCATCAAAATGGTGGAAATATTTATGTATAAGTACATATATACTCTATATATGCGTTTAAATATATAATGTTATATGTTTATATGTATACGCTAAAATATAAAACAAATAAATTTAATTCCGATTAAAGTTCAATATAACGTTGTGCAAGCGTCAAATATAATGTTGAACCACATAAAATACAACGTTTCGCCAACATAAAATACAACTTTGAGCCAACGTACAATACAACGTTGAATCAACGTAAAACATTACGCAATATAGATTTAAAGTACAATATTGGACCAATGTTGTATTTTATTAACTATTGCATTTGATTAAAGACGCAATATTCATGTTTGTTTTGCTTTTTGCTATCTCGATGCAAACACAACGTTGTTCCACTGCATATAATCCTACGTTATTCCAACGTATATGGAGCAATATTGATCCAATGTATATAATCCAACGTTAATCCATACATAACAATAATCCAATGTTTATAACGTTACGTTATAAACATTGGATCATCGTTGATCAATTTACATTGGATCAATGTTGGTCTTTATACATTGGATCAACGTTGAATTTAGATCGGAAAACAACCAATTTTTGCGATGTTTTTACATACGTTGGACCAATGTAATTTTGCTAACTATTTTTAATCACGTCGTTATTAAGATTTTCATAAATATAAATACGATAAATTTCCATTGTATTAACGTTATTTGCAAACGTATTTGCATCGGAGAAAATAGCCGACGTTTGTGATGTATTTATATACGTTGACCCAACGTAAGTGTGCTAGCTGGGTAATGACTAAATGAGATTTGTTGTTCATTCTAGCATTTAAACAATCGAACTAAAAAAATGTTTATGTAATTCCTTCACCACAATTTGGTGAATCCATTATAATTTCAAAATCCAAAGATTTTAGATTTTTTTCGGTTTAGGAAACTTATTTTTATAAGTATTTTTTTGCTTTTAAATAACTACGTGTATTTTAAATATTTACATTAAAGATATAGTTAAATTTGTAAACATAGCCCCTTGTATATTTTATTTTAAATTTGGTTTAAACTAACATTTTTTAAGATGGTTTAAACCATGGTTTAATTCATTGGTTTGAACCATTTGGTTTAAATCTATCAAGCCTCTTTGTTTCACTAATAAAGTTGTTCTATTTTATTTTTTTATTTTTTTATTTTATTTAGGTGTCCCAAGAAGTCCTTACGATCTTATCGATCTAAAAACAAAACAAAAAATTAAAATATTTTTTGACAAATTAAAACATGAATATCATTAATTTAATCAAAAAATCAATATTGCATTTATCCAGTGACAATGTTGTAACATTGAGGTTATGTAATAGGATAAGATGTTTATAACTGCATTCATTGTCACTGGATAAATTCAGTATTGATTTTTTTACACAATGTTGCAATATCAACTTCACACAATGTTGCAATATAAACTTCACACAATGTTGCAATATCAACTTCACACAATGTTGCAATATCACAATTTGGCATAAAAAAGGCTTATTATTGTACAAATATTATTGAAACAAATTAGAACTAATAATTTACTTTAAAATCAAAATCTGGCGTTATTGACCGTTTACGGTCTGGCCCTAGTGCCACACTTTGTGTAAAATGGTTTTATTTATTTACATTGTGAATATAGCTTATTTTTAATTATATAATAATGTATTGCACATATAAGCCAAACAAAAATAGCAATAAAACATTAATTGTTTTGAGTTATGAATAAAGTGGATACTTACTTGATCAACGATAAAAAAAAAAATATTGGTCAAAAATCACGCCCTCTACACTTTATAGATTAAATATGGATTATTCAAAATGACAATGAAATGAACAGTTCACGAAATATGCAGATCATTAATTCAGAAACGATAGATCTAAGAAGTCTTGACAATGGTTCCTAGAAAT